AGGGCAGCACAGACCTGAACGGTCAAGCTTTTCAAGTCTCCATTGCCAAGTTGGCATGTGCCCGGCTGCGTAAGGTTTCCGGTCTGCTCACAGATTATTATTAGTGCTTGTACCATCTTGGCAGCTGCCAACACCGTACCCACGGCAATCTCCGCGTCACCCTGTTGGCCGTCGTCCATCACCAAACCCACTGGCACACTCCCACATGCATTGCTCTGTCCCCCCAGTTTCGAACAGGACAACTTGAGCATCACGCATCTCCCTGGAACGATTTTACCCTGCAGCTTTGAAATCAATCATTTCTGGACTATCTTATATACATTATCTATACATCTATACACAACGCCATCCTTTTTACGCCTCTCCCGTCAGCTGGTTGTGTCGCACGTATCCCCTGCCCTGCTTCTCATACCACCAGCCGCCACCATCACCACAATGGAGTCAAAGTCTCCGCCCAAACCCAAGCGGACACTGACCGACGAGCAGCTCTCCAATAAGCGCCGCATCGACAAGCTTAAGCACCGCGAAAACCGTGCCGAGAACAAGACACGCCTGGAGAACATTGAGCGTGGCATTTCCTTACTTCGTCACACCATCGACGACTTGGTGGTGCACTTTCGCCAGCTCACCACCTCTGACGCGGCACGCCACCAAAACCATCACCACCACCACCACCAACCGCCGAGTGCGTCCCACGATAGCACGCAGCATCCCCTCCACGGGCTCGCTGGCCAGCTCCTGCGTACGCCGTCGGCGCCCAAGTCCGAGCTGTGGAGCTCCTCCTCGGACCCAACGACACCGCTCAACTCCGCCGCGGTGCCTGCTACCACCGCCCTCCAAGTCACCGTCGCCGCGAGCACAGCCGGCGACCAGGCGCCGCCCTTCTACGACCACCTCACGGAGCGGCTGTACGCGCAGCAGGTCATCCCTCAGCAGCCGCTCGAGGCCCAGATCGACATAGAGGCGCTGCTGGCCGAGATCCGCGGCGAGAGCCTTGTGGTGGAGTGCCGGTGCGGCAAGCAGCACAGCGTCGACGCGCAGTGCACGGAGCGCATCGCCGTCACCATGGCTGTCGAGCTCGGCAGCATGGCCAGCGGGCGCGGCATGACCGCGCCGCGGACCCCAGCCCTGACCGACGTGCTGCTGCACCACACGGACGCGTCACCCCCGCTCGCCGTCATCCTGTCGTCAATACTGCGGCAATACGACTTTACCCACGTGAACGCGCTGTGCGGCGTATTCCTCCTCTCGTATCGACTGTTGCGGGCACGTATAAACCCAAGCCCGCCGCTTACCACGCAACTGCATGCTGACATCACAAACTCTAGTGGCGCTTCTATCCGTCATCCGAGTCTAGGGCGGACCTCCCTGCCATCATGCGTCCGACGCAGGCGCAGATCACGATACCGCACCCCAAGTGTCTCGACTTTATCCCCTTCCCCGCGCTCCGCAACTACCTGTGCCTCAACCAGCACAAGGACGCCCAGCACTCGGTGGACCTGTGCCTGCGGTCGATGTGGCTGGTGCTGCCGCCGGGTAAGACCCTGATGACCAAGACAGAGCGCGACGGCGTTGAGCTGGACCCTGAGTTTGAGATTTTCGCGTCGGATCTGCGCAACTGGAGCATGGGCTCGCCGTGGCGGGACAAGTTTCCACAGTTGCGACAGTTTCTCTTTTGAGCACAGCGAGGCAGGAATTGATGATGATTCTATGGGATGCTTTGGATAGCGTGTATTTTTATGTGCCTGGAGGGCTTGGCGTTCTCCGTTGCCTGGGCCAGTCATGATCGCATGTAGTCGTTGTTTTTTTGGTTGTTGCAAGCAATCGCTCATATATACCTTATATTTCACTTTATCAGTAGAGAAGGGATGAATTTGACAAACCCCGTTTGACAAGCGTCATGGCATGCCCCTAGTGCAGGATCTGTCAGATTTCTCTTTTATGGCAGATCGCCTCTGCAAGGAAGGCTGGCCTTGCAATGCAAGATTGTCTAAAAATGACAGCTCAGCATCAGCCCAAAGCCTCTTTCATCTAATAATACCTGTTTTGCAAGCCTGTATCCCACCCAAAGCAATGACATGTTCGTACAATCTTTATCAATCGCGCCATGGCTACAAGATTGTTCAGGGCTCAGGTGCTGACTGCGTGACACGTCTATGCTATTAGGGACGAAGACGAGATCATTACGTCGGTAAAGCTTGTCAGGTAACTACGGTATGTATAGTTGGGCAGCACGCGCGTCATGCAGGTACGGGCCCCACCAAGCTTGGACGGGCACGCAATCAGTACGATGCCACGGAGTAATAACAGTACGGGCAGGTTAAAATGCGATGTCGGTAGCCACTTCCACAACAGCCAAAGGTTGTCCGACTGAGACGTGTCCTCCTTCCTGAAAGACGAGCCAGGTAACGTGCTAGTGTCAGTTCAGCGCGGATCAACGCAATTTCGACGTCGAACGTCGAATTGCTTAACATTGGCATGGTATCGCCCCCACACGCAGGATAAATTTCTCCAAGTGCTCTTACATGCACTTGAATCAACCTATCGCGTAATAACTTGCGTGACAGTGTCAGGAACTGGTCCAGCTCCCTGAATCAAAAGAGCAATCCCTTACTCTACCGTTATGTGCCCTCTTCTTACTTGTAGTTCTAGCACTAACAATTCTTGCAGGGACTTTAATGCTAATTTTACATTCAAGTGGCCGATTTTATAACATGATCGTACTAAACGCACGCAAATTGCACTCTACTAATGCACTCTACTTACTAAAAGTTATGTATAATAGTGCTTAACAATATGCTATTCCTAAATAGGGGAAGTTAAGAACAAGAAATGTAACCACGTCGCCTTTTATAGCAGGGCCTTCATGATATATAGCTGTAGTTACGTGTTTTATGACTCGATCTATAGTGCTCAGATCAGACTACAAGTATATACTAGTCAGGATGTGGGTAATAGTGCATTCATACATTTATGCTACTATTATAAGCTGTAGAAACTTGATAAAGCCTGATCCCCAACATTAATACATCAGGGTCATCGCATTAAGTAGTGCCAAGTCCGTCAAGGGAGGACTTTAACGTTTTTGTGTAAGCTTTCTAGCCGGCTCCATCTCTCCTTAATCTCTATCTTTATTATAAATAGCTGTAGGAGCATCACCTAGACTCTATTTTCAGCAGCCTCTACTCAGACAAACCACCTTCAATCTATATTACCTACAGTTCCCAAACTACAACCAAATCACTTCAACTTCACCACACTACCACCATGATTGCCTTGTCCTTGTTACTAGGTGCCGCCGCGGGAGTCAGCGCGATGATCGGTCGCGAGATTTCAGCCGTTGAGCTCACACCGAATTCATTCTTCTGTGCAGAGGACTGTGTCCATGAGGGTGTCTACTTTTCATCCCTTGGTAACTATTGCCTTGAGAAAGATATCATTGTCAACGTCAACGCCAATGGCGAGGATCAAATTGACGAGGCCACTGGTAATGCCCTCGACTGCCGGGGCGCAAAACTAGTATCTGGAGCGACAGGTGTACGCCAGTTCTCCAACGCAGAGAAGGATTTGTACAAGTGCGATGTCGAGAATGCTACGGAACCCTCCGATTTCGCATGCTATTCCTTCAAATCTGCCGGCTTTGCTGGGATCACTGTGAAGTGGGCGGACATTGCAAAGGAGCTCAAGTCGACCACGAGACAGGGCACTCCTCAGGAGAACAAGCCTACTCCCGAAAAGTCTGAAGAGGAGTGTGCTAAGATTGGCAAGCAAGTTTTCGATAAGTGCCGAGAGACTAGGGAATTCGCAGAGTGTGAGAAGGAAGGCGCAGATTGGATTTTAAAGTGCAGATTAACGTCGGGCTCCGACTTGTGGTCTGAACCTGATCTCAGCAGACGCCGTCGTTGAACTTGAGGCTGCAGCACAGGTTTTCACCCGGGGCGCGTTGTGTGGCTTCGTGTACAAGGCATGAAGCCACGGTGGCTACGGTTTTTCCTGTCCGTATAATGTAGATAGAAGTACTAGATGGTCTCTTGGGCCACAGACAAGTATTACGCTCAATCACTCAATATTCTTCTTTCTCAATTTACGGCTAAGCATGAACCCTAGTAAAGAAATAGCCTTTGGATACGAGGGTCAGGCCTCCAGACCCAGACACTCAGACCCAGACCAACCGGCTACTCGACTCCAGGCAGACCCCGACCCGACATACCGAACGGGCCGGTCTTGGTCTGTCAGTCTGTTAGACACACTAAATGAAAATGCAGCAGGAGGATGGCTTCGAAATTTGCCAATGCAGATGCGGGAGGAAGAGGCAGGATGGGAATAGCACTGCGTCGGTTGACCAGTTGAGTCTGGCTCCCTTATTGCGAGTCAGGTAGCCCCGCGGGGCAGGGGGGCTCGTCAACCATCAACGCAATGTCAATCGACTTAACGCAGGGCCGAGATGGATCATCTTTACAGAGGAAAAGATTATCAAGCAGCCAACTCACTCAATTGATGGCTGAGGTTAAATGGCTTGCGTTCATCGCCACCCTGTTACCCAGCCTTGTCTGTTATGGCATCAGACGTGTTGTCCATTCCGACCATGTCGGCGAAAGCCAAAACGCCTGAATTCAAGTACGGAAATCATCATCACAGACCGCAGGAATTGCATAGGCATTGAGAGCATGGAAGCGACGGAATGCCTCAAATCGTGGCTTAGCAAAGGCAGCAGAGTGGCTTTTGCGGATGACGACCTTGATATAAGCTGAGAGATTCTATAAATTAGATTTGCCTTCGGTGTGAGGCTATGTGTATTTATTCTGGCTGGCTAAGTATCAGTAGGTTCACGTGAGTGATATGGTCGTGTGTATTAACATATATTGTTGTCATATCATATGAACCCCATATGACATGACGGCGGACCTGCCTATATCATATATATATGACCTCCAAAAACTCCGTTATATATGGTAATATCACACTGTTAGACACACTAGTATTGACTATGATTTCACATTGACACAATAAGTATCCTAAAAGCGATATTTATGCCGTACCTCATGCCAAGCCGCATCTCCGCCGGTATGTTGTTCAAGTCTCCAAGTTTCCGCTACCAGCTGGTCTACTGCAATGACATTCTTAGGCTACTCCCACGATCTCGTCATCATTGATGAGGGCGATGCCTGCTTTCTTAAGTTCCTCAATAGCGTCTGCAACGGCCGTTCGAACCGTGCTGGCTAGAGGAATGTGAACAAAGGCCCTACCAGCCTGTTCTTTTCGGGCCACCTCGTTAAATACATACTCGGCGCCTTGGAGAACACTGAAAGTAGTAGCCATGCCATCGTCCGCAACGACCTTGACGGCTACCAGGTCCACGCTCTTGGAGGCACCAAAATAATTGCTGACAATGGCGCGTGCAACCTCTGTGCCGTAGCCAAGCTGGTCATGATCCTACCACAACAATCAGCTCTGATTTCCAAATGTTGCAGTTGGACTTGGCATACGTTGTTGTCGACAAAATTAGCCCCAAATGTTGCGCGCCCATCGAGTTCGGGGCTTGTGACTCGGATGCCAGAATTGAGTACGTAGACCGTAATGCCTTGGCTGGGCTTGCCTACGAACATTTGGGGCCTATCGCGCTCAATGCTCACCGCCCTGCTTAAGCTGTTACCCGATAGGCATCGCGGGGATTGTAGATAGCCTCCGTCTACAACAGAAAGAGTAGCCAAAAAGCAAGACAGGAGTATTCTAATCAGGAGCATCGCTTAGTAGCTTTAGTAATACAAACTTCAATGGATTTCTCCCCATCAAGGCCTTTAGCTTGGGTATCGGCAATCCTCTATATGAGAAATCATCTATTGTAGAAGTTGCGGCCACGGTTTCCACCGGAGACTCCGACTGGAGGCATACATAATACAGGCCACATGGCCGCACATGGCCGCTCATTGCCAAGTCCCCCACAAAACTGGAAACGTATGCTTGCGTCTCTACACTTGTTGTTCCGCCGTTCCGCCGGGTTGCCAGCTATACACAGGACAGGAGGGCATTTTCGGGACCTGGTTCATCTCGGAAGTCGTTCCGCCAAGGCTCTGAATTGTCGCAGAGCTTGAAGGCACGTAGGCGATATTAGGTATGCTTCGGCCTTGCTAGCTGCTATTGCTCGATCCTTCAACCTAGTGGCCATGATTTTACCCTCCCACAAAACGAGGAAGTGGCGTGGGTGCTGGCAGCGTGAAACATTTCTGCTGCTGGGAGTGATACGACATCAGTACGTCAGTGAACTGTGTAAGGCAGCTGCGAGGAAACCTGTATGTGTAGTTGCGCAGCATGCATTATGCAAGTACGGATCTCCATCAAACTTGGACGGGCACGCAATCGCTATAATTTCATGAAATAACAGCCGGACTCGGTAGCCTGTATGTGTAGTTGCGCAGCATGCATTATGCAAGTACGGATCTCCATCAAACTTGGACGGGCACGCAATCGCTATAATTTCACGAAATAGCAGTCGGACTCGGTAACCACTTCCGCAACAGCCAAAGGCTGTCCGACTAAGTCCTGTCCTCTTTCAACAGATGGGTCATGTAACGGGCTAGCATCAATTCAGCGCGGATCAGCGGCATGTCGACGTCGAACGTCGACTTGGCTTGATATTGGCGTGGATCGTCCCCACACGCACGGTAAGTACATTCTCAATGTGCTCTTACCATACTGACAATTTGAATTAGCCTAGCCACTTCCGTAACAGTCTAGGGTCGTCCGACCTAGCTTGGCATTGGTATGCTATCGTGCCTACACGTAGGGAAAGCTCAGATGCTCATACCAAAATCTATACACAACTTGACTCGGCGTATTTGCGTCTAGACATTTGACCTCGTACAATGTTCGAACCGGGGCTCAGTCGACGTCGCTGTGCGCGCGAAGTTGACGCGCCAGTTTTCTGGTCGAAAGAGTGTTCAGCCAGATTTATGGGGCGGCACAAGGAGCTGCGCAACGCAGTGTGGCGCATTATATCATCTTTCAACATGCCAAATTTTGACCGTCGCAGCCAGGAAATTAATAACGAACAAGCATTTCGGCATCCAGGATGGCGTCGCTAATCCGGATCTTGAATCCTTCGTCGACGGAGCAAGCGCATCAGAGCGAGGAAGCGTTGCCGAACGAGGCAGAACAGCCTGAGGAACCAGCGAGACCAAGCGGATCAGCATCGCCGACTGCACCAATGTCACCGGGCGGACCAACGTTGATGGGCAACGCCAACTCCCTTCCTGATCGAAGCGGACATGGAGCGTCAACAAGGGAACCACAGTTGAACACAACCGATGCAAATCAACTGGTGCATTACAACGGCCGAAAGTGGGAGTACGAAAGTTATGAGTGGCTTGAGGCAGGCATTCTGTCATTAAACCTCAAGCCTGTCGGTTCAAACAGCGCAAATGAGCTTGTCCGCGAGGCTTACCTACAATCCGACAACCCTGACCAACTTCTAAGGCTTTGGAAGGCCACCCCCCGACCTGTCTATGTGCCCGACCCGAGTCTTTACGAGATATTTGCGGTTCTCCGGCATAGGGAGGTCAAGAATGGGAAAGGTGAGAGAGCCATCTGGCTACAGGTACAATGGACGGGTTTCAGCAAAAAGGACACGACTTGGGAGGCAGAAGCATACGTTAAGCAAGTCGCCTCGGGTGTGTTGAACGAGTACTGGTCCAAAAAGCGAGCAAAACGCACAGCTAAGATATCCAAGCGGGTCCGTCCACAGCGTCAAGCGAGGTAGCAGCGGTAGCGGTTTTAAAATAACGCGGCCACTTTCGCCCGTGAAGCATCTCTCAGTATTGCTAATATTATATACGGTATGATATTGGAAATATGCACCCCCTCAAAATATTATTGTATTGTCCAAAGGTTCATATTGTATTACTGTCAAAGAATGCGGCTAGCACGTAGAAGGAGAAAGGATAGATCGTAAGAAGGTAGCTGTTTTATAGCTGGGGTGTAGCAAGTAGTTCCTACTAATGACTTTATTAATCACTGGAGGAGAGAAGCCCTCCTCCAGTGGTTCTCACTACGTTCTCGCCCTTCTATAGCCGCGTATTCGCACGTGACCCTGGTGGGCCGTGACAATTACCCCATATAGCAACCAGTCATATTGTATTGTATTGCCAAGAACCTGATATATTGCTAGTATAATAATATACATAATATATTGCACGTGACTTTCATCAATGAGCTATCATTAGGCACCCGCTACTTATATATATCTCTCTTGAAAGTCGTGTATCCTAAGCCACGATTCTTAGCACTCTAGCGCTTCTATTACATCGCCCCCCCGCCGGTTACGACGATCTGTCACCGTTAACTTCGCAGCAGAGAATAGCCGTTTAGGCTCGGCAGACATTGGCGGAATAGACAGAATGTCGACCGCCACTGTGCTCAGGTTAGGGTAGTTCTTTTGCTGCGTCTCCTCTAGCTACCATGAAAATGCGCTCGTGAACCCATACGTCCGCTCGGCCTGACAGTAGCGCTCATACTCATCCGTGATGAGTGTCGGCTGAAGGTGTTTATTCCTCCAACAACTCCTTTGTTGCCGGCAATGCTGCATGAGAAAACGACAGAGACGACTTAATAGGTCTATATTCCGCCTATAGAGCATCCACCAATGCGTCTATATCTCCATTCTGGGGTGCTGTCTTCGTCAGCAAGGAGAACGCGGCATTGGTAGTTAGTATACAAACTAGCCAGCGCCATGGCACCAGGGCTGTGCGAGGCAGCTGTGGGGGTGGGGGGAAGAGCGCTTGCCATTTCGCTGCTGAGAAGCTGCGCGTAGCCACGGGCTAGCCACATCCCGTCGGTGACATTGGAAGTTGAAAGTTTGCCGATATGCTTAACGGTGCAGACAGGCACTGCCTAAGACCGATCTGGCTCCCGGCTAACCTCGACCTTGCATTTCGATAAGCCGCCGTCAGGTCGGCGGCGAAGCTTGGCGTCAACGCTGATTGATCATTGGCCAGCATGGATCGTGCAGAGACAGTGTTTTGTTCTTGCTAGCTGTTCTGCTCGGCTCTCGTGCCCAAGCGCCGCCGCGTGTCGTCCGACTCGGTTCGCCATAGGCGGCAATTATCCAGAATTTCTCTGTCGGTCCACATGCAGCACCCAAGTAAAGAGAATTGTCGCCTTTTTTGCATATATATCAATTGAAGGCTGATCAGAGTTTTTTTTTCCTTTGTTACAAAAAGGTCATCTTAATACAACTTCTGTGTGACTAGCTTCTATTAATTCCTCCGAGTCGTGTTAACCATGTAACTTGTGCTCCGCCTCATCTCATCTCGTTCGTTCGATGTTCGTTCTTTCAGCATACACTTCTTGGCGTCCAGATGGACTGCCGTTTGTCCATCTTGCCTGATTTTTGTGACTTTTCTTTTCTAACATAAATACTAATGTTCTCAAAATCTTTGTCTTTCGGGAACTTGGTGTAATTACAGTCACGCCAGGTTCTTGATATGGATTACGGAACAACAACCCGTTTTAGACCTAATCCATACGTATGGAATTGAAAATGATCACGTAATCACCTCAGCTCATTCGAGATGAGCTAGATTGATTCCATCGTGGAGCCAGCCCATCCCGTATCGTCTTCCATGTCTTCTATGCCGCCACCCTCACCAATATCTTCATCTAGTGCATTTAACGCATCCAGAAAGTTCCCTTTGTTATCCGGCTCTTGATCCAACTTTTCATGCACTACGATGGCGCTCCCAAGCTGGCATCGGTCCCATGAAATAGTACGTCTTGCTCCAAAACAGACTCGCTCAGGCTCGGCAGACATGGCCGGCACCGATACGACATCGATGGCCATGCGCGAGAGACGCGAGTATGTCTTTTGCTGCTCTTCGCAAAGCCACCAAGCCAGGGAAGAATAGTCAACTGCCACAGGTGGCCGGGCGGTTAAAGACTCGTACTCGACCACATCGCTCATCGCCGGACTCACGACATCGAACTCACGGGCAAGCATGTCATTATGACATCAAGGGTTACATAACTTGCTCTCCTGTTTGTCCCCTTAATGACAGGATACGCCGCAAGCCAATCGTCGGCGAGCCAAGTGGATAGACTTCGGGCACCAATGTTTTTTTTCTAACAAGTAAAAAAGAACAAAGAAGAAAAGAATGAGAAGTCTGCCGCTACTTTTACCAAGATGCCCGCGGCCGCTGGATTTGCTGTAAGGAAGGCGAGCCTTTTTTTTTCTCCTTTGAATACGTCGTTGGCGCCGACCTTTCTGGCACCCATAGGTCCCGAGTCAGGTTCGTGTGGCACCACGCCAAGATTAGAGACTTGCCGAAACTTGACTATCGCGTTATATAGCAAAAGAAACAAATCAAATCAAATCAAATCAAATTAAGTCAAAAGACTTGAAAAATTTGGGGGGGGTTGCTACTCTGCTGATGGGAGTGGATTCCACATCACACCATTCTCGTCATCTCCTCTTGCCAACGACTTGACCCGGTGCCGGACTCGTCATACCTTTTTGTTGTCAACTTACAAGATCAAGGTACATGACTCGGCCAACTGTAAAGCTATGCCGAGTCTCATATGAAGGATCCACACTCTTGCCTGGCTCTCCGTAAAGACGTTGCTATGGGTGTGGGTGTGTTGTGTGTACGACACGAACTCTTTGATCTTGTTAGAAAAAGACAAGGTTGGACAATTTACATAGACAATGTGCGCTAAGAAAAAATCAAATAAGAAAAGAACTGCACGCTTCCTGTGCATAAAAAAAAAACAGTGGTCTACCAATCACGCCAGGGGGGCGGAAGCAACCGCGCCCACTCCTCAAAAATAAAGTGTGGCGCGGGCCGGGGACGAGATGGTAGTTCCTGAAACTAGCCAGACCGGAAATGTTGCGGAGAAGTGAGGTTCGGAACCAGGATTTGTCTACTGATATTTTGTGGAGTTTTGGACGCTGATGGTGGCAGGCTTTTGAATATAGAACGGCATATAGATGATGAGTATATGTTCTTGTGCATATTATATAAAATTTTCTTAGGAGTGTATTGAACAAGCGACTATGCAAGGTTCTATCAAAAGTGTACGAATCAAACAGCTATAGAGTTATCATAATTAGTGTTTGAACTTAATGGTTGTTGGCTCTCTCAACTATATAAAGACCTTTGTCCTACCCGACTCTGCTTCAGAAAACTCACCAACAAATCATTCATTCTTTACTCATCTACTTGACCTCTTTGTCATCTTTTCCAATCCGTTTTCAACGAACGAAAGAAATACTTGAACCGCCAACAGCGATTACAAAATGCGTCCTTCCGATATCATGGCACTTGGGGCTGTAGCCCTCTCCGGCCTCGCCACGGCCAGCTCTCTCCTGCCTGTGACCAAGCGCGACCTCGAAAACCGAGGCATCGATGCGAACTTGCCGCGCGCCACCGAGGAGGGCGCAGCGTCGAACGCTGCCGACTTTAAAGTGACCTCCTATATGCCTCGCCGAAGCGAGGGCATCTGCAAGTTTGGCATCGACCTTGTGAAGCCCGAACAGTCCGCCGGGACTGGCCCCGTCATCATCTGCTCCGCTGCCGGTCAGAAGATGCTGGACGGAGTGAAGTACTCCGAGGCGGCGCTGTTGGCCGCACGCCTGGCCGTCGAGTACGACCGCAGCTGCCAAATCTCTGAATCCACCACGTACCATTCGGCGAGTGACCCTAAGATAACCTTCAAGGTGTTTGACCGCAACGACAACGATGAGGTCAGGAGCGCGACGCTCGGGCAGAAAGGCGAGGTCTTCTTTCTCGACTGCGGCGCCGTCTTCTTGAACTGGCCAGCGACGGGACCTTCGGGCACTGGAACATCCGCCCAGGTCAGAATACTCCGCGATTCGCGTGGCTACCTCCCCCTCATGACCGAGTTCATGCCCAAGGAGGTGTTTGGCAACGACAAGCCCAGCACCGGCTACAACGGCCAGAACCCGCCAGCATGGCTGAAGGAAGCGCTTGCAGAGGTTCCGAACTAAACAGGCAACCCAATATCTAGCCTCTACGCACGGGCCCTATAAGAATGTGGCTAAAATTAGCCACAAGATATAGTCGTGGGGTTCCTCCAAGCTTTGGTCAACGTTGGTGACCATACTTGCAGGCCTGCTCCGCTTCTACACACTCATTTTTCTTTCTATGTATCCACTTTGTTCATAGTTGTATGAGACACCTCATATGAACAGTATGTTAGAGGACCAGATATGTTTATAGGGAGTTTTCCGCTCCGTTCGATAGCGTTAGGCTTAGCAAAAACCCCAATAACAATAGACTCTATACGCCCGCGCCAATCACTTTCACCCCCAGGGGCGGAACCACCTCTATGTAACGGTCCAGGCTGAGTATAGTTAGGCAACTACTACGAGTATCGTAAAGCTAAGGAAGAAGAAGAAAGGAGATCCCAGGGGCTCTGCTCCTAAGCTCGCCCGATGTAATTCGGGATCACGGCGAGAGTGTCGACCGAGCTGCCTGTTGACTGCGTATCTCGGTGGCGACAGCAATACGCTGTGTTTACGAGCCATGAATCTTTGGAATATCTCAGCGATCCAGGCGACTTTAGATAATTTCGTCAATGCAGCATTAGTCTCCTGGGTGGCTTCGAGAATGTCGTCGTGTCGATTCAGATAGCCGCCTTTATCATGCAGAATGGTGGAACACAGCGTTGCGTATTCATAAAAGGCGGAGGACAGCATCACTTGAAATATTTCGTTCTGCAGGTAAGTATGTTTGAGGAAAACAAGAAGTGAATGAAGCAAAGTCAAAGCGCAATCAACGCCTTGGGCTCGGCACTGCAACTCGTACTCAGATGGTTGCAACGTCATACGCCGGGACAGATACGGTCGGATGGGATCTAGCATCATCCGGTAGCCTGCAATCAGGGTAGTATGTCGGTGCATGGAAACCCATTCGTGATTCATGGCAAGTGATTTATTCGGGTTGTGCGCATCGAGCCGAGGACGTAAAGAGTCTATCCATTCTTGAACATTCGCGTGTGATCGTTAATCGAGCACGGACGCGTGACCTTAACGGCTGTAGCAAATCGGCGCGACAGTTGGCCGATCAGGAGTCGATGAGATGCACTGCCGCGACATGATTGCGTGGTCGCCGCCCTGGGACATTGCGGGTGGGAGATGTCGCGCCTCTTTCTGACGATACAGGGGTGGCTGCTGCCGGTTCTGCCAGGACTGCTGGAGGCGACGAATTGATGGTGGGTGGCTGATGCGTAAGATTGCTATGCTTCTGCTCATGCCGCATGAAGAGAACCTCCAGTTACCTGAGGGATGGTCACAGAAAGAATTGGCGCCTATACAATTGCCAGCACAAGCATCTTTGAAAATCTTGCTCGAATTCTCCGCAAGATCTATGAGGATGCATGGACCGAGCTTCTGCGGCAGAGGCGAGATGCGGAGACCAGTGAGTTTAGTTTTATGGTCATTGACAAGTTGGCGTCGCTACAGGGCAATACGACACGTCTGCGTGTTGATGTCACAAGCCGACTCTGGCGAGCAAAAGAATTCATTGCTGATCGAGTGAACAAGTTGAGAGAAGAAAATGATGAATTGGAGGAGTACTTCGAATAAGTCAAGCTTCCAACAAAGCAATGAATCTCACATGACCCAGTCAGGGGGCGTTGAAAATCAAGCATATAGCAAAAATATCCTTGAGTCACTTTATCATACGTTTGAGCGACGAGTCTAGACCAGTTGAAAAGTTGGTGCTTGTGGCAGGGGCGATGGCTGTGCACTACGTAGAGCATGGGTGCAATGTCTGATCAGGGCCGCCCTCACAAGCTTGCAAGAACGTCGTCACACGCGTACAATTCGTTAATGGGTCGCTCTAAACAGCTCATAGATCCTAAATCACTGACTTGCTCAATCATGTAGTTCAAATGGTGGCGCATACTGGAATAGAGTATGCAGGACTGGAACCAAGCGCGGCAGATTCATACAGCAGAGGCACAAAATACATCTACTGTGATAGAGGCAGGAATCACATCCAGGTTATCGGAATCATCGTCCACGTCCACCGTTGGACGCTTTCGTTTCGATGGCACTGATGGCATAGCCTATTCCTTTAGTCCCTTTCCGTCTAGCAAAGGAGAATAGTGTGCGCCACCAGCTAGCTATTTCCTGCCGGTGTTCAGACGATGAGTATCTCGAGCGTAATCGAACAACTCAACTGTGCAAGACAGAAACAATCCTAGGCGTGTTTAAAAAATAGCATAGATTGCTTGGAAAAGTCGGAAGTCGGTGCCATGATGGACGCAAGGAGTATGGATGCAATGACATGGTCACAGCGGACAAAGTACAATAGACGCATGAACAAAGCGACATATATTGTTGGTATATATCGGTGACATGGATATTTATTTGTTTTATTGCCATAGTTCTTATATGTACTTGATCGCCCTCAATCAATATATTCTTCTAGGTCCCGCGCATTAACAACTAGGTATGCATTGCTTGAAAGCAATAACAACTTTCCTGCCAATGCGGAAGGCGCCATCGTCTGCAGGCCCGGCAATTACGAGCTTTGGCGACGACTGATCATAAAAGCCTCTATAGACCGTACGAAGGTGTCACATACTTGGAGGTAGGACAACCAGGCGCGGAGCAAGGTACTTGGTCCGAGGAAGAAGGGGCAAATTAATAAAGCTATGAGAAGTGGAAGGAAGAAGTCTCATACATGACTAGTGGTGATGGCATGCTCAAGGAATGGGTTTCTGGAATTTTCCAGTGGGTTTGAGATAGAATTAGGCAGAAAGCCAATCAAGACCTATGTATTTTAAACCCTCACTATGGGCGACGAAGTGTGCATCAGGTGCTAACCAGCTACTGTAAAGAAGTCAACCTCTGAGTGCTTATCGCATTAAAACTGTATGTACTAGTTTTCGACGGGTTGAAAAGGGAGCCGTGGTAGTCCCGATAGCCTCGGAGATGGTAAGAACTAGGCGCCTAGACATGTACGTAAGCTTACACGATTTCTATATAGTTTCATTTTCAACTTACTCTATTACTCTAAGATAATATACTCTAACAACCTGCTTCACTACATAAATGAGACTGATTGATCCTCAACTACGTGACGCCGGTGAAGAGCTCGTGTCCCATGTAATTCTCCTCATGCCCCTAAGTAGGCAAAGCGATACACCGATGATCCGCCTGTCGGCCCTTTGCCGAGCGCTAGTTAGCCATGTCTGTGCTACTCTAACAAGCGTGGTATAGTAGAGACAGCATCTTTGACGTGAGTCTTGAGCAAATCCACAAACCGCAAAATAGGGCAGCTTACCCGTCCAAATTTTCTGCGGTCCCACCAACGACATTGACTGCCTGGACACGAATCAGAACTGGGGCTGGGTGGTCAGGATGAGGTAGACCAAGGAGACCCAAGCAGACCTATTAACTTTGACCGCATTACGCCGTCTGCCACCAAGCCGGCGGCCACCGCGCCGACTGATAACGCCGAGGAGGCCTGTTCTAACAAGGCCGAGGAAGCTTACGATAAGTGCCTAGATGACTTGAAGAACACCAACTTAGATTGCGTTGCAGTGAGCGACAAGGTTCTGGGTGTCATTAGGCTGTGAATTGTTTGAGAGAACAGCTAGACAAGTAGAAACTACTTTCGGATCCTAATTTTCCGCACCTATAAGCAGGAATTGTCACAAGCTAAGCCCGAACTATCACTTTGTTATTATTGAATCGCTTGTCCTTCATCTCCTAGATGGGTTCATGCCATTTATCTCGGTTCCGAGGAGGCGTCCCAGTTCGTCAGGGAGACTAGCCAGCCTTCCAAACTCTGATATCCATGATCCTATGACGAGCAGCAATTACTCAAGACTGCTTGTCTTTTCAACAGAGGCAGACTTATCCGATACGAAAGTTTTTCCGAAATAGGCTGGTTAAGGTTGTCAGTATAGTAAGAGCACATGAGACATTTACCCTGCGTGTGGAGACGATAATATGCTAATGTTAAGCCAAGTCGACGTTCGACGTCGACGTTGGCGTTGATCGGCGCTGAACTGATACTAGCACGTTCTATGGCTGGTCTGTTAAGAAAAAAGGGCACGACTCGGTCGGTCAACTTTGGCTCTTGCGGAAGTATTTCACCTTGCCCGTACTCTTATTATTCCGTGGCACTGATTGCGTGCTCATCCATGTTTGATGGAGATCCATACCTCATGACGCTTGCTGCCTAAATATACATGCCCGCCTCCCCGGAGTTACCCGACAAAGTCTACTAGCGTAATGATCTCGCATTACTCTCCTAGTGGCATAGACATGTTTCGCAATGCTACCCGTGCCCACGCGACGTCCTCGCATTGCTGCAGGCGATCAACTACTCATGTAACAACCAGGGTCGCGAGGCTAATCACTGGGCCACAACATCCAAAAGATCGAGAAACGACAGCCAGTCAGGTCGAAACATTGCTCGTATCCGCTGTGTACCTTCAAGGTTCGTGGCAACTCTAAACGTTGGCGTTATGATCTCTAAGATGGACCACGTCCTGGCATCGCCGTTGGCAACCCCAATCGCTGGAATTATGTGAAATATATCCAGCAGTGGAAACGTTCTGAAGGCACCTAATGCTGAAAGGATGAGTCGTTTTATGAGAAAAAGGGGCAATGGAATTGTCTTCCGTTGTCCATCTGTCCAACGTTCTAGTATACACGTCTCTAGAGTTTGTAACAACCTAGGACAATGACCACTGATTAGTTGCAAAGTAAGGTAAACAATGCTATGGAGCGTATATACATATGTAAAGGACTGTTGACACGTCCTGACCACTGCTCGGCGAATTTCGCTGCCGTTCGACGTCCCACAGAACAAGACAATGACACTACAGCAATACGAGTTCCACACAACATTTCCACAGCCTATCCTTAAATAACAAAGTACTGGATAAGCAGATATGAGCATAATGTACGAGTGGCCAAGAGTACTCTTTGGCAGGCACTCGTCGGAATTGTAGCCACGGCGGTGGGCCGGTGGCCTTCAAAGCCAGGCGGCGGCAAATTATAACGGGAATGGCGCTGCTTGCGGTGAGAGAACTCAAATCTCCCCAATATGAGCGGGAGCATTGGAGCGGGAGCATTGGAGCGGGAGCATTGGAGCGGGAGTATTGGAGCGGGAGTATTGGAGCGGGAGCATTCATATAACCGTAATCTAATGGTCGGTAGTTGGAGCCGGATTTTGCTTCCCCGACTGTATTAGCTTGGTGCTTGCTATCCCCTCCACCCAGTGTACAGCAACCAAATAACTTGACTTGGTTGGCTGTAATTGCTCGATATGTGTCAGCTAAGTAAAGCAAGGGCTCCAGGTCAACTAAGCAAAGCAACCTGCTTCTATTACTTAACTTTACTTAATCTACTTAAAAACATTACTAAAACGGGGTATAGTAGGCGGGTCTAAATGCTATGATTAGCTCTGTGATCCCCTAACCCATATATACTCGTAAATCTCTCGCCTAGCCTTTACGAAACATTTACCGAAATGCGACATGCCTGAAGCCATGTCAACGCATCCATTCTCTCGACCGTATGGTGCAGCGCTAGACCCTCTCCAGCAGGCCCGTAGGTGTCGTCAGCTGCTTGCTGCTATTGTGGCGCTAGGCTCATTAGGAACCAAGCATAATGATAGTATAGCCCGAGCTAACAGGGCTGATGTAGAAGTCGAGGATCTATTAGAGTAGTGGTTACTTATATAACTAACTATTTAATCTTCTTTAAAATATTCTTCAATTTATTTAGCTATCCTCTAAGAAGTATTAAATATAAGTAAGTATTTTTATATATAACGAAGGTTATTACTAATAAATAGAAGTGTCTTAGATTAGATACTATTATAGTGATTATATACTAAAAATATCTACTTTAGACTTATAGTTTACTATAGTAATCTCTATTTCGGAATAGCCGTTAAGTAATATTAGCTAGGTAAGGACCTTTTCGTTACTAACCAAGCTGAGTCAGGAGGCTATATCTTGGTTGACTTGGTTGTTGGATACACTGCCTCCTGCCTCCACCTGAGGATAGCTTGGCACTATAAAAGATGTATAGACTTGAAAGCTTAAACATCGATTATACGTAGGGAATCTTGAGCATTGGCTGTCTTTGACTATGACTCGCGTGGAGTGCTTTTAGCAAGATGTTGTATATTCATGTCTATTATATAATTCACAAATGTTAGACCAACAAGCAATATATATAGTAGCCACTGAACATCTCTAGAACCTCTGCTTCTCTTTACTGTTTTCACTCTCTTCACTTTGTTCAACGTGCTTACAACCAATTTTTTTGCTCACTCTCAACATGGGTTTTCGTTCGTTTGGCTTCGCCATTGCAATTGCCGCTATTCAAGCAGCTACGGCACATGGGTCAGGCTGTGCAGTGGATAGCTCAGACGCGGAGCTAATGGGTTCATTTGGCATCGTGTCTAACGTATCAATTGTCTCGCGTCAGGAGCCAATGAACACATACAGGGTATTTGCGCACAACGTATACGATGCCAAGACGGCGGAAGGTGGCTTTCTAAGTGTACGTTGGAAAGAATCGCACTGCAAATCCAGCACTGACCATGAAGCAGGAGGATACCATCGAAAAGCACATAACTACCTTGAATGATCAACTAAACCGCTACGGCTTCGTGTTCACGCTTAACAAGGAGGATATACGTTATACAGAGGCACAGGGTATTGCCGCCGCCAAGAACAGGAAGCAACACGAGTATTTGGTATCTACACTGCGCCAGGGCAACTTTGACGATCTGAACATTTTTTATCTCAAAAGAATTTGGGAAGAACGGCCGAGGTCGGGTGGCGCATCTCTTGGCTTGGCCACCCACCCCCAGGCCGGACAGCCAGAGATGGATGGCATTTTTCTTTGGTCTGAAAGTGTGACTGGAGAAGACACCGATTCGATTCACAAGGTTCTGGGGAGCGGTCTTCCTGAATCTGCGCCCGCAACCGCCGCTCACGAATTCGGCCACTGGCTTGGTTTGTTCCACACCAATGAGGGTGGCTGCAAGGGCCATGTCGATCCGGACTCTGGCGAGCTGTACATCAACGACACAAACCTCGAAAAGCCTTCAGAGGGATTCGCAGCCATTTTCGAAGAACGGACAGAGGATCTTTGCAAACCCGAGTACGGCGCGTGTGACAAAGCCAAGCCAGTCATGATCCATAACTTTATGAGCACGCGGTAAGCTTCGACAAGTTACTGCCACCGGTTGAACACATCTAGGGCGCGACTTGACTGACTATTGAATATAGACCATGCATGCAGAATGAGTTTACCAACGGACAAGTTGAGAAAATGAGGCGTTGGGCTAAGTTCCGGGCTTTCCTGAAGAACAGGTCCGTGGCGAAGAAGCCAAGACTGAATAAACTCTGCACACCATTCCGGGGTGACCTGAAGACCTGCATTGGCGCAATGAAGAAGTGTAATGAGCAGTATAAAGATGAAAACGAGGTTACCAAATGTGTGCACGCCGCTGCCATGCCCAAGGAACCCAACGACAAGCCGCCAGCCAAGCCCGAGGAACCCAACGACAAGCCGGCGGAAAGCGCTCCCGGTTACGAGTCGGGGAAAACGCCGAATAATACAGCTGATATCTCCAAGGATAGCATCTGCAAGCCCTTCAGCGGCAACAAGGCAAACTGTAGCAGAGCCGCATTCAAAAGCGAGAAGCAGGTCGGCCTTGTCGATCGGGTCAGGTTAGGGGAAGCCTGATTAGGTTTAAGGTTCCGTTTGAACTTAACGTCGGGCACCCCCTTGTGGGCCACACCTACATTTCGGCCACCATTTTTAGTATAGCTACACTAAAATAGAATCTATTATAATAAAATAGAGAAAAGTACTAAAATTATTTAAAAATATAAGTTAAATAGTTTAACTAATAAACTTTCTTTTATAAAAATTTTAAAGTCTAGATAAATCTCCTTAAATTAATATAATTAATTTAAAAAAGGTATAAGGAAATATTAAGCTTTATTAGTAAATTACTAATAATCTTTAATATTTTAATATTATTTTTAAAAGTTTAAAGAGATTTATTATAATTTTAGAAATTAAAATATAAGTTATTTATATAAATAAAAGTCTTATATTAAAAAGTCTAATATTTTTAACTAGTAGATTTTAAGTTATTAAAAGTAGATATAAAATAAGAGAAGAAAAAGTACTTAAATTTTTAAAATATTAATAAAAGTTTCTTTATAAGCTAAGGTTTAAAATATAGATTTTCTAAAGCTTTTAGTTTTTTATTATATTTATTATATAATATTATCTAGTTTATATTAAAACTTATAACTATTAAAAAAGGAAAAAGTTAAAATTATTATATAATTTATTAGAAGAAGATTTTTATAATAAACCATTATAGTAACACTACTTTACGCTATATATACTACTATTATGCC